AACAGAATTGAGGTTGGTTCACTGACACATGACAATATATACACAGGGCATAGGCTGCAGTCAGTAAAATTTTCCATTTTGATTCTTGTCACTTGCATTTAAGTGGCATTTCCTTTAAGAAATGCCCAGATGCTACAATACATTGGAAAAAAAATGGCAAGATTCTAAGCCAGCGGGCTTGTTTGTTCCTGAGGGTGTGGATGGTTAAGGCTGTGTTCCTGTCGTCCTCCTGAGGAGCAGCACTGGTTTACAGTAAGAAGGCCACCTGGTGGACTGTGAGGCATTGTGGGATATGCTGGCGTGATGGATCAGCTCCCCGTGACTGTCCAGAGGATGGGGGAGAGTCTGCATCTGGCCCCGTTTGGCTCCCTGAGCAGTGCGGCAGGTCCGTTCGGTGTCGGCCCTCAGTAACGGATGAGAGGGCGATGGGCCTCCCTGAAACGGAGATTAATTAGGAGGCATCAGTGACCACGAGCTGCGCAGAGGTTAATAGATCTTGTTTTATGATTCAGGGAGAAACACTGCTTCCATTTCATTACAGACTGTGTGTCTTTTTAAGTAGAATATTCCAGGTGAATTGAGGTGACTGTTTTACACATTTTCCTGCACATTTTAATGTTTGACACCATATTTGTTTACGCATTTTAATAGTAAATTGGGATCACTGAGGGACTTTTAAAGAGGCTTACGAAAACTACATTTGCATTTTTTTATCATCTACAGCTAATCTGCAGTCTGTATTATATGATGGTCTGTGCTCTTACATACACTCATGATTTAAGCCTGGATAGTTTCATTTTTCAGCGTTTGTGAGGCATTTAATTAGAATTATTTCCATAATGTTGTTTATGATGATGAATTATTCATGAAAGCACACACACAGTGTATTGTATTGGACTCTGAATGTAATTAAGCCAAATTTACAACTCAAGTGTTGGCAATTCACTTAATTCTTTAATTTTAATTGTTCATGTAGAAAAGGCATGATATGTATTCTTTAGTACATACTGTCAGGCATTGTTGGGTGTAATTCATTTTGAGCCGTGCAGCTCCTGAACACTGGTTTGATTGGCAAATGTTTATTAAGGTCTTTATTCATGATCTTACAGTTCACTCCTTGGTTTGGCAGAGAGGGATCTGAGAGCACAATGTGATGTCTTCTCCCAGTGAGTCACCATGGCAGATTCACACGGCGCAGCCATGAAAGGAAAACGAGCTGATGATGCGTGACTGAAATGAAGCAGACGAGAAAAACAGTGGCCACCGCATACGGTTCCCTGTTCAGCCTCATCACATACGGTACCGTGTTCAGCCTCATCGCATACGGTACCGTGTTCAGCCTCATCGCATACGGTACCGTG